TTTTTTGCAATTCAGTTACCAGACTTTCTTTGGAATGAATGACTCTATCAGCATATCTGTCACAATCAACTTTAGTACCAAAACTAATATAAGAAGAACCCTTACTCAGCAGACTGCGGGGTTATCATGGTAGAATAATACTTTGTAATAATCAGCATGAATAAAATAGTATACGTCAACCATGTACAAACCTCAAATAATAGTGTATCTATCGGTCTGTATGATTTCTTAGCAAAGAGGGACAATTAAAAAAAGGAACATAAAGTTTACAAATTAGAACATATTTGACACTCAAATGATTGTAACAACTTACTCTGCCAATTTTCTGGTGATGTTAGCTAAAAAAAATCTCTATTGCCAGTTAATGTCTGGTTTAAAGAATTAAATTTAATATTATATGTAAAACATTAAACATTTTTGTTATGGGCTATATGCTGGTCTGCATATGCTGTAGATTATTTTAATTATTTTTGTAAAAGATGCTATCTGCTACGAACAGCCTCCAAAAAGAATAGGAGTCTTAAGAAAGGTAATGTGTTTAAAGTTAGCAGTAGTGAATATGTTTCTTGATTAAAATAAAAAGTTCCTATCTAGTAATAGTCAGATCTTGAAAGTTGTTAGCCATGGTATTCAGTTCTAGATGCTCAGTTTCACCAAAATCATCTACAAATTGCTACATTTTCCCCTATTGCAAAAAGCATACATCTCTGCAGATTTTTTAGTTTATATGACAAAGATGGCAAGATGCACACATCGAAATAAGCCATTTCTGTTTGTGGGTTATGTCGTTTTTGGTTTTAGTAGAGTGTCTAAATTTAGTCCCTTCAGTTTATAAACTTTAATCTACAGCTTAATGTGCCTTTTCAAACTATGACTAGTCAGTTGTGCCCTTTAAAACAAGCTAAACATAAAAGAAATCATTACTTAGCACAGGGCATCAACCTAGCCAATAAAAGGTTACATGATGGATTATTTCTAAAAGTTTATCTTTTCTTTCCAAAACAAATGATCTCAGGACCAATGAAGTCAGCTGGAAGATAATTCAGAAGTACACGTTATTGATGGAATTAATTTCCACAAGTCAGATAATAGCTACCAAAGAACATAATTTTCAGAAACTAGATATGCATGGAATATTAATCTATAAATTTCATTAGTCAGGATAGTAAACAGTTCCAGGATCAGAAGGGTAGTACTGAGTAACATTGCTGGGCGAAATGGCAACAACTGGGGAAGTGACAGACACCACAGAATCATATGTGATTCTCAGAATCATTTACAGTACTTGATCTTGAAAAAACAGATACTGGACCAGGTGGAACTTGATCAAGAGGGGAATTTCTGTTCTTAAATTCTCAATGCTCCCATGTCATATATGACAGTGATTTAAATTTCTCCGAGGTTAACATAATACCCAGAAAACTCATTATGCATGCCAACTGGGCACCGTGGACTAAATATCTTGCATGTCTCTAAGTACTATATATTGCCTGCTAAGCTAATGTGTTGACTACAGAGATGGAACTCTGGACTAACCTTTGGCACACAAAGCCACGCTGGGAAAGCCAATTCCCCCCTTCCTCTCCTCCCATTCAAAGTTGACAAGGTTCTCACAACCTGTTTAGATTATGCTGAGCTTTGAGAATGGTTGCTTTGGACAGAAAAAATGGTTGCTTTGGACCTACAAATAAAGATGCAACAGATCTCTCTCTGAAATCTAACTTAACTGCATGGACTTTTGAGTTATTTGCACGTACCAGTGAATGCTCTGGTCCATAAACATGACATTGGATCCAGAGGGGAGAAATAACAATAAACTCAATCAATTGCTTAATAAACCACAATTGGCTGGATTCTCACAACACCCTAAGTCAAAATTCTACACTCAGGTTTTCATGGAAGTTAAACACAGGATGGTGTATGGAAACATAATGTGCTTTGTAAGTAAACAGCTAAGTGAGTAGTAGAGGAAGTATCACATACCGTAATTGGCAAAAGCAGGCAAGAAAAAACTTGCCTTTGTTCAGCTCATCATTATTTTAACAGAATAGCAATAATCCCCACTAAGTGGCCCAGAAACTCAAATTTAGCAGGCACAAAGATTAAGCTGCTGTTTTCTCTAGAAAGCCATTTACTATGCAGTATGTGTAGAATCAACATAGCCTGAAATGAAGCAATGCATTACTTTAATAAGTCACATTAATATACATGTAAGTCAGAGCTTTTCTGCTTTTTGGGAACCACCTGACAACAGGTACCTAAACATTTGAATTTATTGTCATTCAAAACTTCATAATTACTTATTTCAACTCTCTGGGCATTGCAATTTTTTAATTTTGAATGACATTTATGAAGCAAGCAGAATTAAACTGCCAGGTGCACTTTCAAAATATGCACAGCTCCTCACATCTAACAGAATTGCAAATATAAAACAGAACAGGGAGCTCCCCAAGGCAAAAGTCTCACTAGATTTGTGTACATTTTAATGAAGCGTCTCATGCATTTGGAAGACACAAAAATATTGTATTTACTTTTTAAAAATCTAAAGCCCAAAAGTCCCAGCCCCAAAATCTTTCTTAACCTCCAAGGCTTCTGCACTTGAGTCCAATCATTATTAATTTTCTTAACATATTTATTACTTCATATACTTCATTGCTGCTGATAAAAATGATTTCACTAAATTGCCACTGAAGAGTGGGAGGAATGGAGGGGTTGCTTGCCCCCAGAATTTCATTTTTCCAGATTCTAAGTAAGGTTTCTCTCTTTCCCAGCCCTATCTTTCCCTCGACCCCTCTCTATCTTATTTTCCTCTCTTCTTTTTAAAACGCTTCCGCCAGAAAGAGAGAGGTGGAGATGTGCAATGCGTCCTGCTCTCCCATTCCTAAGGACTGGGCTGATTCTGCCATTTTGGAAATGCTCTGTTTGTTGTCTGGAAGTTAATCCGTTGAGCCAAAAGGGGTTTGTGGCATTTTAGATATGGCCCAGTTCCTGAAACCAGCCTCAGGAATCCAAATTACATCCACTCCAGATAATTCATTTCTGAAAACTTCCAGACCACCCACTTCCTGTAGGGGCTAAGGCTGTGTGGCCCAGAGGAGGGATGGAACATTCCAGAGTCCTCTAGAACATTTCATTCTCAGGTGCACATATAAGCACTGATGAAGTTACCTAGTTTGGGTAATGAAATATTTGCAAGAAAACAACCAAGTTTAGAGAGTACCAAGGATCCCTTATTTCAACCACGAACTACAAATATTCTCCTTTATCAGTACATGTAATCTCAATGAAAGGGGATTACTTGTGGACTTCTGTGTGGGAAATTGGTAGACAGAAATGACTTTACTTTGCAGGTGATATTAATCATTAGTTTTAAACACACTCATTAACATATATCTGATAATATCCTGTACCTATATATAAACCTGCATTCCATCCACATTTATTGGGCAAGAAATCCACCTGCATTCAGGTTGCATGGCAACTGCAGATTGGCAAAGCTGGACATTCCATAAGGAATTATATATTTCTTATATATTTCTTGCAGATAGTCCTCAACTTATAACCACAATTGAGCCCAACAATTTATGTTGCTAAGTGAGAAATTTGTTAAATGAATTTTGCCCGATTTTATGAGTTTTCTTGCCACATTTATTAAGTGAATCACTGCAGTTGTTAAACATGGTTGTTAAGTGAATCTGGCTTTCCCATTGACTTCGCTTGTCAGAATGCTGCAAAAGTTGATCACATGACCCTGGGACGCTGCAACCGTCATAAATGTGAGTCAGTTGTCAAGCATCCGAATATAAATCATGTGACCATGGGGATGCTGCAATGGTTATAAAAGTGTGAAAAATGGCTGTAAGTCACTTTTTTCAGTGCCCCTGTAATTTCTGCCTCTGTATCACTAAGCAAACTGTTGTAAGTCAAGGACCATCTTTATTAGTTTTACAAATAACTCAAGGGGCAAACATTTCCAACACATCTTTCTCTTCCTATTTTCCCCACAACAACCCTGTGAGGTGAATTGGGCTGAGAGAGCGTGACTGGCCCAAAGTCATCCAGCCAGTTTTCATGCCTAAAGCAGGACTAGAACGCAAGGTCTCCTGCTTTCTAGCCTGGTATCTTCGCCACTAGACCAAACTGGCTGTGGCTGCCTTCCTTCCAAATGAAAACAGTATGAAACGGGGAAAATAACATTTTAAAGAGAGACAGTTTGTGCAATGGAGCTGAAAAGAGCCACATAATCATATCTTTTTATTACTCTTTTCATTACTAGCAATGAACTTATTGCCAAGTTGTTGAAGAAAGACTGAACAATAGAAATGGACATTTTAAAAAAGGTTTCCGCAAATTGGCACCTAGCAGGAAACTTAACGCTAAACATTAAACCAAGGTTAATATTCACACTACAAACTTAGCCAAAAAACAAAGGCGCAACATGAGCACCTGATTCACATGGTATTAGTGATACGACTTTTTGGGTTTGGCAACCATGATTTAATGCATAAACATAGCCAATGTGTGCAGTCCAAAATAATTGTATCTGAAAGGCACCAAGTTGTAAACATACAGATTGGCTGTAAACATACAGCAAGCAACTCCAGTTCATTCTCAACTATGGCTTGTTTTTTTCCCCCTAATTCCTCTTCAATTACCTTGGATTAAAGAACACAGAAGAATGCAAATTTTACCAATCAAGAGGGCCGATGGCATTTACTGCTCTTAAGCACTAAATTCCTTAGCACTTCCTGTCTCCTTGACAAAACCATCATCCCCCATAGCTAATCTAGTCGATTTATATATATTTTTGTCTTCGTTAAGTTGGGGGGAGAAATATACAAATCTTTCCCCTTTTTCAAAGGTGTTGGACTACAAGTCTCTGATGACTGGGAATAGCGAGGCTAAAATTCTAGTCATATGGAAGAAACCAGGGTGGCGGGCGGGGGGGGGGGGCGGAGGAAACCCCAATTTGCGTTATGGTTAACAACCAGCGTACTCACAATACACTCGCGGACCCTCTCGTGGAATAACTGCTCCCGCGCAGACAGCAGGTCGTGATCCCCCAAATTCATCCTTTGGTCAGCATGGCTGAAAGTTTGTAGGGCTGGCAGAGGGGCCGGTGGAAGCAGGAGACGGGGCTCCCAGAACCCCAGCGTAGCCGCCACCACGAACCGAAAACTCCTCCTTCCTTGCTCGTTAAGGGCCAATTTCTAGAATCTAGAACGTTGCAACACTCAACCCGCGTCACAATACAGGTCCACCCGGCCCGGAGGAAGCTCCGCGTTGCATCGTTAAAGGCACCGAAGCATCGCCTGACTCAACCAAACTCCGCTATTGCAGGGATGAGATTAATGACGGCGGAAAGGAAAAGGTAGAGCTTATACTTCCCACATCCCCTCCGGAGAAAAAGAGCCGATTGGCTAGATAAGGGCTTAACCTGCTTGCTTTTCATTGGCTACCTCTGGAAACCAAAGCGCGGTTCATAGGCTGCGGTGAACGTTCATTATTTTACCATTCAGTGCTGTCCGTGGTGGAGTAGCATCCCCTAGTGGTTGGCCCCGCCTTCTCTGTACTGCAGGGTTTTAATTATTTGGGAAGCTTCGGTTATGTCAAGGAAGATTAACTTATACAATCCTTGACTTACGGCCACAACTGAGCCCCAAAATGTATGCTGCTAAGCGAGACAGTTGTGAGTTTTGCCCCATTTTTACGACCTTTCTTACCACAGTTTTTAATTAATTAATTAGGTATTCCCTTAATTAATTATAGGAAAGAAGGATTCTCTCCTTCCTTCCTCTTCCACATTTCTACTCTACACAATTTACTTTAATGTTCAGTTACAAGTGATACAGCCACTCCATTTAATTGATAAAGTGAAACTGTAGCTCACAAAACCATATAACTTTTAATAAAATTAGGCAGAAAAGATGCTACCAGTCTCCTGATAAATTACAGATAAGGAGTTTTCTACTGCATTAAGATAAGTGTTTTGTTGTGAAATAAAACCAAATACCAGATCTAAACTGCTAAAATTTACAGTAGCACCACTAAAATGGCAGAAAAAAATATTAAATTTACATGCCGCTAATCTCACTGTCATTTGACTCTGGGTGGCTTACAAACATAAAAACTAAGATACAAAATATTAAAATATTCAATATTAAATTTCGTTTAGTTATTTTTACCTTTGCTGCCATCTAGCTCCAATAGCAGTTCACCAAGGTAGATTTCCCTGCCACAATAGTAGGTACAATTCCAAGCCTTTCATCTTCCAGAGAAGCATCATATAAAAGTCGCCATCTAGAGGCCTTGCAAAGTTTAGAAACATCCATAGAATTCTTGCTGAGACAAAATGATGCCAATAAAAAAAATCTGGGACATAAATATGTAGACCCACTGGGCAAAAACTGGTTTTATAGCAAGATTATCTTAAAGCTTTAAAAAAAAAACCCAGCTTCTTTTATTTTCTCCAGAGAAATCTTTAGCATCATCAGTGGAATCATACAATACCTCACTTTCCTTTTTTTTTCCAGTTTAGTTCAATCTCTCTATCAAAGTATTGGGAGGAAGGTCCATGTCCAAGAACAGTATAAAAATAGAACTTATGGATTAAACTTATTTGTAGCTGATATGATTATTTGAGATCCTACTAATGATATAATTTAATTACAATTTGAACTGAATACTTGTACATCAGCAAGCTGGCACCAATCACCCTCTGTTTACTTAATCCACATCAAAGTGTTACTGCTTGTATAAAATAGAATTCCATGTGAAATTGCTTTGAGTCCCCGGAATGGAAAAACGATATAGATCTAACAAATAAAAAGCAGGCAAATACAGGTAGTCCTCAACTTACGACCACAATTCTGCCCCAAATTTATGTTGCTATGTGAGAAATTTGTCAAGTGACTTTTGCCCCATTTTACAACTTTCCTTGCCATATTTGTTAACTGAATCAGTTTGTTAAATTACTCATAGGGTTGTTAAGTGAGCCTGCTTTCCCATCGACTTTGCTTGTCAGAAAGGTCACAAAAGGGGATCACATGATGCCGAGACACTGCAACCGTCATAAATGTGAGTCAGTTGTCAAGCATCCAAATGTAAATCACGTGGCCATGGGGATGCTGCAACAGTGATAAGTGTGAAAAATGGTCATAAGTCACTTTTTTCAGTGCCACTGTAACTTTGAATGGTCACTAAGTGAACTGTTGTAAGTACAGGACTACCTGTAAATAAATAAATTAGTAATTTTAATCATTTATTATGTGAATCAATGTTGATAGCTACAAAACCAGGTTTAAGAAGCTACTATACTATGTATATTTATCTAGGTCAGTGGTGGCAAACCTTTTTTGGCTCCCGTGCCAATAATTGCACACGTGCTCGTGCGCTCACACTCATGTGCCGGCACCCAGGCAATGCGTGCTGCCACCCCACCCTGCACATGTGCACACAACCCCCAGCATGAGCTGCATGTCTCTGCACATGCACACATGTCTCCTGTGCACCATGCACCACCCCCACGTGCATGCATACCAGATACCTGACAATCAGCTATCGGGCGGCAGCGGCACGCATGCGCAGTGGGGCTCTTCCAGGCGAGCTCTCACGTGCTGGGGGAAATGGCTTTGTTTTTTTTTCACTTCGAGCATGTGTGCCATAGGTTCGCCATCATGGATCTAGGTGGATTGAGATATTATTGAGCAATTATTGCAAAAGATTGGCATCAGTTAAAGAAAATTATGGTTGAAAGATTTAAAAAGTATGTCATAGCAACAATTATTTTTTATTATTGCTTGGTAGATATCCTACACAATGTAAGTATCACTTCTTCCTAAAATTCTGTTACTTTTCTATTCTTTGCTTTTACTCTATTCATGGCAAAATAATTCCTTCTATTTAATTAATATAAAATTTTACTTTAAAATCAGGATTGGGAAAATCCTATGCTATAAAACAAAAGCATTTCAGAGTCTTACATATACTAGATCTAAAATACTGCTTTGATCCTTAAAATTAAAAGTATTTCTATTGTTCAAAACTCAACATATGTTTGGAGCATTGCACCTACCATGGTATGGCCACATTTTACAAGCAGTACTCCAGACTGTTGCTTGCACTGCCTACCTTTTCAACATTGATGGCAAATACCCACATGGAACACCAAAGCGAAAGTAGCAAGACACAATACAGACATTAATATCATCCCATTGGACTGGCATTTGATCACATGCAATGGTGTTCATTAATCTAAAAAGCAGACCCTACATTTGCAGGAAAATGCTAGGTTGAAGAAAATTGGACTTCAGATCAATTTGAACTACACTATTCCACCTAAATGTTTTAAAAATCATATCTGCCATTACAATATCCTTATTTAAATATCTAATAAGGGTAATAATATTTAATTTAATATTTGGAAAAAGGGAGGCAATTTATGAATCCTAATTCTTTTTCTTCCATTCTTTGATCTCAGATTTTAAACATGTTATAGAATAGATAAATATGATCTTTGTACAGAATGGGAAGACAATGCTTTATATAATTTGAGATTTGAATATTGATGGGAAATCTTTTTCTCTTGACCATAATGTGTAAAAGGATATCAGATGAAATGATGGAGTATCATCAGAAACTTAATGAGATCTTAAACCTAAAATGTAACAATATTCATATTATTTAAAGTCAAAAGTGTTTCAACATTATATGTAACAGATTCTCCTGAAACGCTTTGTAAATAGTATGAACGAAGGGCTTGAACTGTGTGCATTAGGGTAAAAAAAAACACTTTCAAAACAATATTGTGCAAATCCTACTACATTTTGGAATCAAACTTTGACTCCAAAATAGTCAATAGATGGCATCATACTACTTTAAAATGGTATTATTTTATAATAATTGAATGTGTTTGATGCGTTTAAAATTTAATGCATATTCTCTCTGGTGGCAGTCGCTACATTTATTCATTTCATTTGCCAGCTTTGAGGAAATGGGTACCATACTGAATTCTAGTAACTTTTGTCCCTTTTCCTCAGAATCTGCTAAGAGCTTTAATTTTTTTCTGCATGTTTTCTATTGGAGGTTCTTCTAAGATATTGCTGGGGAATTTGAATCGTCCCGTATCCCTTTCTCTAAAACAACTTCAGTTAAAAACAGTTATTTATATTTCTCTTCCCCTCCCTTTTGTTTTTTTTTTTTAAATAAAGTTTCGTTCTCTGTCTCTTCTCTGGTGAGATTGATCATTCTCCTGACAAAGGAGCATGAGCATTGATTTCCCCAGGGACACGACATAAAGCTCCTCAAGCAGAAGACGCCAGGGCTATGGGAGCCCTATTTCTGGGATAGGATGCCAAGTACAATAAAGGCATTCTATTGGAATATAAGCAGCCACAGTGTAAACTACCAAGCAGGTACTGTTCTGACCTATGCTTTCCCAATAGCACAAAGCCAAGTCCTCGTCCTGATAAACCCTTTATTTAATTTACAATGAATTTCCTCTCCAACAAAGTCCTAGGCAACAGTCTTTCAAGATAGTTTCCAATTATAGACCCTTTATCAGGCATGGAGCGTGGCCAGATGCCGCAATTCTTGGCAAGCATGCCGGAATGAACTAATTGTCTCCTGCAAAGCCCCACTCCACTTTTGCTTCTCTTTTATTTTCTAGTGGAGGAGCCATTCACCATCCACCTGTGGCTTTACTTCCAAGTCGGCCCTTGTTCCTCAGCTATTCCCTTCTTCTGCCAACTCTGCACATGTGCACACTGGGAACAGGCTCTAGCTGTTCTTCTGCCTCACTGATGTCTGACTCCAAAGGCAGCTGATAACTGTTAGACGGCCCTGGCCCCATCTCTGCCTCCACTCATCAGAGCCTTCCCCCAACTCCAGGACTGGCCCATGTTCCTCCCCAACCTCCTCACTGTCCAAATCTTCTGCCAGTTTGGTGGGCCACAACAGGTACACCAGAACAGGAAGCATAACTAGGGTACATACCAAGAGGCTTTCTGAGACAAGCAATTTGAGACCTCCAAAGCTTCACCCTACTAGCACAACTGCTGTCATTGGATGTGAAAATAAGCACTTACAATCACAATTTAGCCCAACATTTTGGTTAAGAGATTTATTACATGGGGTTTGCTCCATTTAACAGCCTTTCTTGCCACAGTTGTTAAGTGAACACTGTAGTTGATAAGTTAGTAACCTGGCTGTTAAGTGGATTTGGCTTCCCCATTGACTTTGCTTATCAGAAGTTCACAAAAGGTGATGTGATCTTTGGAACACAGCAAGTCATAAATATGAACCAGTTGCCAAGCATCTCAATTTTGATCATGA